TTGACTGTCCTCATCATAAAATTTATCTTTTTATCCACTCCGAAACTGATTTCATTTCAGTTTTGCCTATTCCCCCTTGTTCTGCGCCTTGGTCTTTTGTCTTCCCACCACCTTCCACTGCGAGAATCCTGGCTTCACCTTCCTGATAACCTCCTCGTTGGTATGGGAAGGCTGCTGTTAGGTCCTCCCAAAGCCGTTTCTTCTGCAGGCTGAACAAGCCCAGATAGCTCAGCCTCTCCAGGCAGAGCAAGAGCTCCAGCCCTGAGCACTGTGGCTCTCAGCTGAACTTGCTTCAGTTTCTTGAAGTGTTTCTTGAGCCCCCAAATTGGACACAGTCTTGTAGGTGCGAATGAGAGACACAATCTTCTTGCTCTGCCTGCTGCAGTGGCTCTTGTTCACGCAGCCGGGGATGCTGTGAGCGTCTGCTGCCAAGGCTCGTGGCCAGCCCTTCTCAGTTTGCTGACTACCCAGACCCCAGCGTTGCTTCCCAACCAGTCAGTCCCCAGCCTTTCTGCTGTCAAGGGCTTCCTTCTTGGTGCAGGACTTTGCATTTGTCCTTGTTGAAATTCATGAATTTCATGAGCAATCCAGGAGACTCCTAGAGTGTGTTGAGGATAACTGCCTGGGCCAGGTGTTAGATATTAGACAAACCACCCAGAGGAGAAGTGCTTCTGGGCCTGGTGCTCACAGGAGCGGACAAACTCTTTAAAGAGGTTAAGGTTGGAAGCAGTCTGGGCTGCAGTGACCGCGCCCTGGTTAATTTTGTGATCTCGAGGAATACGGGACTAGCAAAGAGCAGTCAGGACCCCAGACCTCTGAAGAGCAACCTTCAAGCTATTTCAAAACCTAGGGGACAAGATCTCCTGGAACACTGTCTTTAGGGGCAAAGGAGCTGAACGGATCTGGCAACTCTTTAAGGATGAGTCCCCCATGTAAAAAAAAAAAGAGCAGGGAGGGCAGAAAGGCTGAGCAAGGACCTGCTGGTCAGACTGAGGCGCAGGGAGGAGATGCACGGGCAGTGGCAGCAGGGACGCGTGGCCTGGGGAGAGTAAGGGATGTGGTACGGGTGTGCAGGGATGGGGTCAGGAAAGCCAAGGCACGGATGAAACAGAGCTTGGCAAGGGATGCAAAAAATAACAAGAAGGGATTCTGTGGGTACACAGGCCACAAAAGAGAGGACAAGGAGAGTGTACCCCTCTAATAAATGGGAAGGGAGAGCTGGTAACAACTGACATGGAGAAGGCTGAGGCACTGAACAACTTCTTTGCCTCGGTCTTCACTGCCAGTCAGACTTGCCACAGCTCTGATTTCCCTGAACCAGTAGATGTGGAATGAGGGAGCAAAGTCCCTCTCACTGAAAGCAAAGAGCAGCTTTGAGGCCACCTGATGTAACTGAACGGGTACACGTCCATGGGGCTTGATGACATGCATCCCAGGGTCCTGAGGGAACTGGGTGATGGAGCTGCCAAGCCTCTCTCCATCCTATTTGAAAAGTCATGGCAGTCAGGTGAAGTCCCTGGTGATTGGTAAAAAGGAAAAATCACTCCGATTTTTAAAAAGGGTAGAAAGGAGGATTTGGGGAACTACAGACTGGTGAGCCTCACCTCTGTGCCTGGTGAGATGGTGGAACAGATCCTCCTGGAAGCAGTGCAGGGCACACAGAGGACAAGGAGGTGATCTGAGACAGCCAGCACGGCTTCCCCAAGGGCAAATCATGCCTGACCAATCTGGTGGCCTTCTATGATGGAGTGACAGCATCAGTTGACAAGGGAAGACTGACCAGTGTTATCTACCTGGACTTCTCTAAGGCCTTTCATATGGTCCCACGAGACATCCTGATGTCCAAATTGGAGAGAGAGGGGTTTGAAGGGTGGGCCATTCAGTGGATAAGGAATTGGTTTGAAGGTTGCATCCAGAGAGTGGTGCTCAGTGGCTCTGTGTCCAGGTGGAGATAGGTGACAAGCGCTGTCCCTCAGGGGTCTGTCCTGGGGCTGGTGCTTTTCAATATCTTTATCAACAACATAGACACCGGGATGGAGTGCACCCTCAGCAAGTTCACAGATGACGCCAAGCTGAGTGGTGCAGTTAATACAACAGAAGGAAGGGATGACATCCAAAGGGACCTGGACAGGCTGGAGAAGTGGGCCCACGTGAACCTAATGAGGTTCAACAAGTCCAAGTGCAAGGTGCTGCACCTGGGTCAGGGCAATCCTGGACATGAGCACAGACTGGGAGAAGAACTCACTGAGAGCAGCCCTGCGGAGAAGGACTAGGGGGTTGTGGTGAATGAAAAGCTCGACATGAGCCAGCAGAGTGTGCTTGCAGCCCAGAAGGGCAACTGCATCCTGGGCTGCATTAACAGAGGGGTGAGCAGCAGGTTGAGGGAGGGGATTGTCCCCCTCTATGTCCCCTCTGGAGTCCTGCATCCAGGTCTGGGGCCCCCAGCACAAGAAGGATGTGGGGCTGTTAGAGCAGGTCCAGAGGAGGACCACAAGGTTGATCAGAGGGCTGGAGCACCTCTTCTGTGAAGAAAGGCTGAGAGAGCTGGGGATGCTCAGCCTAAAGAAGAGAAGGCTCTGGGGTGACCTTATTGACAGCTTTTCTATATTTAAAGGGAGCTTATAAAAAGATGGAGAGCAACGTTTTGCTCAGGCAGACAATGACAGGACAAGGGGGAATGGTTTTAAACTAAAAGAGAGGAGATTTAGATTAGAGGTCAGGAGGAAGTTCTTCACTCAGAAGGTGGTGAGGCACTGGAACAGGATGCCCCATCCCTGGAGGTGTTCAAGACCAGGCTGGACGAGGCCCAGGACAGCTTGATCTAGAGGGTGGCATCCTTGTGCATGGCAGGGGGGTTGGAATTAGATGATCTTTAAGGTCCCTTCCAACCTGAGCTCTTCTATGATTCTGTGATTCTCTGAATTTCCTTCTGACCCTTTCCTCTAGCCTGTCTAGGTCCTTTTGAGATGTCCAGCTAGTCACTGAACTTGGTAGGGCTTTGGATATCATTTTCAAAAGTGGTTTCCACCTCATATTAAAAAAAAATGCAGGAGAGGTGCTTACAGTAGAGAAAAATATCAAGTGGAGAGCAGAGAGTAAAATGAATACTCTTAGAAGCAGCAATGTAAACTAATACCAAAAGTAATACCCATACAGCAAAAATTCTTGTATTATCTAACTAACCTCTTCACCTTTCCTTCACTTGAAATATTTTGCTTGTAACTCATTAAAAGATCTTCACACCAGGGACTGTAGGCTTTGTGGGCTTCTGGTAGCCCCAGAGGGTAGAACAACCAGAACTGTTCACAGTCAAAGCCCAGAACTTGCAGCAACCGGTGGCTTCACAGGCACATTCTCCTTTGGCCTGGCAGCCGCTTTGCAAGCCTGCTCTTTGCAGAGCAAACGTTGAGCAAGTTGGGGATGAACACACTTCCCAGTTTTGTTTCCTGAAATATCTCTGAACTCGACACTGTAGTGCCTGTCCACTGGATGGTCAGCATATCCCAGAGACAAGCTCTAAAGGTGCTAGACCACAGGACATGGTAACAGAACTCCATGCTGCATAAACTTCCTGGTGTCAGCCCTTGGCCATTCCTACATGAGAAGTAGAAATAAGCATAAAGGCGTAACTTTATTTATTTATTTATCCTCGTGCTGTTAAGAATATGAGAATGTCTATACCAAGTCAAACCATGGCTCCATCTAGTGCAGGATCCTGTCTTAAGCATTGTCTATAAGCAGATGTCCAGGGAAATCAGGGTGAGGATATGATGAGGTTTCTCTTGGATAACCACCCAGGGAGTCTTCAACTCAGAGGTTTCTGTGCGCATAGTGCCCCCACAAAAAATATCCTCCATGGCTTTGTCCAATCTTTCTTTGAACCTGTTTCATGATTCCAGTTCATTATGCTACCGTGGTATTAAAAGTCCCCAGAGAGTGCTCAGCAGAAATAGCACAGCTTTGATCACAGCGATAGACTGAACAACGTGATGAGATGTAAAGTTCAATGCTCACTGGCCAAAATATTCCCTTTTTCTCCCAGCAGACCCCACATCTGCAAGCATTTGGTGAAATTGCTGATGTAATATAATGCATAGTTGCCAAAGCAATTTGATGGTGGGCATTACAGAATAAACATGAGAGCCGAAACGCAGGTGGTCGCCGTACTGCTGTGCCAAGACGTGGCTTTCTGCCATCCCGAGCGTTCCCTCTCACAAGCAGTTTTAAACCTTGACAACACTGAACTGTAACTGAAAAGAACCCGATATGGCCAGTAAATGGCTAGCATAGCAAAGCAGGCCTTGGCAAAGAACAGCAGACTCATGCAGAAGGCTAGAGCTGGGCAAGTTGGCTAACTCGTGTGCTCCCCCCTCCTCGATATTTCGGGTACCTGGCAAAGCTCTCATGCTGTGCCCAGGTAGAAAGTTAGCAGTAAGAACTGCAGGATCTGCCTTCTCTGGGTGCTTGCAATTCTTGCAATGTACAAGTTACGTTGCTGGTAGACCCTGCGTCTGAGTTCAGTCTAGCACATTTCAGCATATGTAACCCCTCAGAAGGGGAGTGGGGAGGTGTGACACGAGAACAGCGAGCTTCAGAGTGCGAGAAGCGCACATGGGAGCCGGCGCTGCCTGGTGGCACCCAGCTGTCTCACACTTGGCAGTTCAGTGTCGGCAGGTTCGATGAGCAAGTGTTCAATTATGTCAGTGCTGCGTTGGTCTGGAGAGCAGTCAGCTCAAATGGGAAGTATTGGACAAGACTGGTGGATTTAAAGCAATGTCAGATGTTTTGAGAGTCTGGCCACCCTTCTGTACCGAGTGAATGTGAACAAGGGGCCAAACTAGAAATGTTTGCACCAAGCAAAGAAAAGAAAAGTCACCTTAGAAAGAAGGAGGGGTGGGGGGAAGAAAGGGATGTCATATATCTAAATTGTGGTGAGTGCTGTACTCTGGATTCTCTGGAGAAGACCTCTCTGACCTGATTGTTCTTCTGTTTTTTTCCAGGTGAAGACGAGAAACTTGCTGCTTCTTTGCTAGATGGGAAGTTTCCCCGGAGCACATCGATGCAAGACACTGTTAGGGAAGGGCATGGGATTCCACCACCACCTCAAACAGCCCCACCCCCGCCTCCTTCTCCATATTACTTCGACACAGGCCCCCCGCCATCCTTCTCACCACCTCCACCCCCAGGAAGAGCTTATGATACCATAAGATCAAGCTTTAAGCCAAGCCTGGAGGCTAAGCTCCACGGACTCCCACAGGTCATTAGCGCAGCTGAGATGTACGATCAGGCGAGGACTTCCATTCCTTATCCTGAAAGGCAGAAGAGGGCCCGATCCATGATAATCCTACAGGATTCCTCTCATCTTCCTGTGGAGCCAACAGAGATCCCCCGGCCTGGCCCATCCGCAACCCCTCCAGAGAAGCTGAAGAGGAAGGGGAGAGTGATTGACAACCCGTATGCCAACATGGGTCAGTTCAACGTCAGCCTGTTTGCTCCCACCAAGCCACAGAGGAAGAAGAGTCCTCTCGTTAAGCAGTTACAAGTAGAGGATGCACAGGAGAGAGCAGCACTGTCCATCACTGGAGGCTTTACCAGGGAGCCCTCTCCCACGCGCAGGAGCCATCGCCTGAGTGGCGTGGAGTATCAGCACCACACGGGCATTGCTCAGGTCGAAGCCACAAGCATCCCCTTTGCCACTGCCATTGCTGGAGTCATGAAGGACAGAGACCGGCGTCTGGACGAGAAGCGGAAATCCACTGTCTTCCTCTCAGTTGGGGCCATCGAAGGAAGCCCCCCCAGCAGTGACATGCCATCCTTACAGCAGTCCAGGTCTATCGATGAGCGGTTGTTAGGAAGCCGAGATGTACTACTGCCTTCCCCTGTCTCAGCTTTAAAGCCATTAATTAGCAGCTCATCCTCAACGTTCATCCACCCCCTCACAGGAAAGCCCTTGGATCCAAACTCACCACTGGCACTTGCGCTGGCCGCAAGGGAACGGGCCCTCTCAACTCAAGTCCCATCCCGGTCGCCCACCCCGATCCACAGCCCAGACTCAGACAGAGCAGCACCCCTGTTTGTGGACATCCAAACCAAAGAACCAGAGAGGGGGGAGTTGGAGAGTTTAGTGTCCCCTGCGTATTCACCTGGAGGTAAAGGGGCAATTGGAACGGACTCTGGGACTTTGGCCCCTGCTAAGACCCCGTGGGGGACTCCGTCCACACTGAGAAAAGAAACTGAGGCAAGAGCAGAAACACCTGTGAAGGAGGAGAAAAAACAAGAAGACAAGAAGTCCATGATTATTAGTATAGTGGATACATCACAGCAGAAGACTGCTGGCCTTATCATGGTTCACGCCACAAGTAATGGCCAAGACGAGGTAGGACTTGAGGTAAAAGAGGAGAAGCCGGCTGTCCCTGAAGCATGCACAGAGCCAGCAGAGTCTCCCAAAGCAGAGACCCAGCCCAGCCCCGTGGGGAAGCCTCCGGTCAGTCCAGCCTCTGACAAGACACTGGGACAAGGGAGTTCGGAGGAAGAAGTGGAGCCCTACACGGTTACCCTCCCACCAGCTCAGTTGTCTTCAAGCGATGAAGAGACCAGGGAGGAGCTGGCCAAGATAGGGCTGGTGCCTCCACCAGATGAGTTTGCAAACGGGGTACTCGTCACCACCCCTGGCACACCAGTCAGCCACCTGGCTACGCCTAGCACGCCATCCATACCAGCGGCAGCAGTAGCACCTTCTACCACTGGCGGAACACCCTCAGGGAAGCCCTCTGATGCCCCCGTAGCCCCAGAGTCTGCTGCAGACTCAGGAGTGGAAGAGGTGGACACCAGAAGTTCAAGTGACCATCACCTGGAGACCACAAGCACCATCTCTACGGTCTCCAGCATGTCTACGTTGTCCTCAGAAAGCGGGGAGCCTACTGACACATACACTTCCTTTGCGGATGGACAAACTTTTATACTCGAGAAGCCACCAGTGCCTCCAAAGCCAAAACTCAAGTCCCAGCTCAGCAAGGGGCCAGTTACTTTCAGGGACCCACTTTTGAAGCAGTCTTCGGACAGCGAGCTCATCTCCCAGCAACATGCGGCCACTCTGGCATCAGCCAGCATTGGCCGGCCACGCTACCTCTTTCAGAGAAGGTCCAAGCTATGGGGGGACCCCATGGAGAGCAGGCCGATCCATGGGGCTGACGATGACAAGCCAACTGTGATCAGTGAGCTAAGTTCCCGACTACAGCAACTGAATAAGGATACACGATCACTGGGGGAGGAACCTGCCGGGTCCACCTTAGATCCCGGGAAGAAGTCACCGGTGGTCGCGGCACGGTAAGATGCTGGGCGCTGCTCGGGGAGGGGCTGGTGCGGGGCTTAGGCACCCAGAGGGACAGGGAGCTGCACAGGCAGGGTAGAGCTGCGCTGAGTAATTCGGGATGTGTTTGAGGGGCATTTCAGAGATGTCAGGACCTCTCAGCTGCACAGGGGAGAAAAAATGCCGAGACAAACTTCCTCGAGGTTGGCGTGAGTTGTTCGTGGCTCCTCTCTAGTACGCACCACACACGCAGAGAGCTCTCGCTGTTGTTTTTTCCCTTTAAATTGCCTTCCTGTTGTTTCATGTTCCTCCTCTGTCTTTATTCTATCGTTAAGCTGCTGTATTTAGTTGTGGGTTTCACTTCTAAATGTTTTCTCCTGAACAATTAATAATGATGTATGTTTCTCCAGTGCTTTTCATTTCAAAGGATCTCCAAACGTTGTCACACTGCGTAGTAGAGCTCTGGTCAGTCACTGCCATCACAAGGGTGGGCTGTGGCAGCCTTTAGAGAGGCCACAGCGACCCCACACACATTTCTTGGCTGAGGTTGCAGGTGTGAGCGAGGGAGGGCTGTGGCAGGATGCGGGGCTGAGTCCTGCCGAGCCCAGTACCACGAGCCCAGTACCACGAGCCCAGCACCACGCAGTGCCTCCTGCCAGCGGGCCATGGAGCTCGTGCAGAGGTCTCTGCATAGCACCAAAATACAGATCCTCTCAGCTCCTCATCCTCCTCCAGACCCAGAGCTGCTCAGGGCCTGGACAACCCATCAGGTCTAAAAAGTCACAGGTTATGGTGTGAATCCCCAGGATGTCAGAAGCCTTTCTCATTCAAATTCATGCTCAGATTTCTTCAGCCCTCAAGGTGCTCAGGAGCTGCCGGGTCCCCTCTCCCACGCTGCAGCTGTGCCCATCCAGGCAGCCTCACCCCCCGTGCCAGCCTCCCCCCTGGCTGGCACCCCTCGGCTGCCCCATCCCGCTCACCAGCTGCATTCAGACCTGCTGCCTCCATGGAGGTGGTGGCCCCCTTGGCCAGAGCTTTCACCCCAGCTCACCCACCAATCTAGGTGTAAAACTAGACCAAAAAACTCTAATTTAGAGTCTGAGATTTGAGAACAAACCCTTAGGAGGCTTAAAATTTTAGATACAGCAGGAAGGGACCCAAAGACACCAGTCACACCCTGCCCTTCACCCAAATGCCTTCCTGGTCACAGAGGCACCCTGAGCAGGTCCCACTGGCATCACAGTGTCCAGGCCACCCAGATGCAGACACTTGGCAGGGTCAGCAAGGTGACAGACCAGCAGGGAGCTCTGAGCTAAGGGGAACCTTCCTTTTGAGGTGTTTTATCTAACCAGAGCATCGCAGTGATGGATTACAAATCCGTGTAGTGCTAACACAGCCGATGACATTTCAAAGGCATGGGGGTAAAATGTCCTAACCTGGTGTAGCCCCGGAGGAGCGCTCGTGTATCTGCATCCTCCACCTGGCTCATATCTCCCTGCTGGTGCCTGCGGGCAGTGCCAGCCTGGCTGCACTGATACCCACCTCTGGGTAGGTGCCAGCTTGTAGTTATGATCACGGGGTGGAATAAGATCTCTGGATCCTGCCCTGCTATGCTATTTTATCTCCTTGATTTGGACCCAAATGCACATTACGGCCATTCCCTACAGACCGATGTCTGACGCATGGTCCCTCCTCCAAGCACTGCTCAGTTGGGAAACATCAGGTCCTGAGCTGGATGACCTTAGTTCAGTTGCATTTGGGGACCCTTCTGAAATAAGGCATGCCATGCCTCATATTCCTACGAACGCCTCTTCACGGCTGCAGGTCCCCCCCGTGTTCCAGCAGGCAGTGTGCCTCCCTGTCCCCACCTCTCCCGGGGGCAGCAGACCCCCGCCACAGTTCCTGCCCCGTGACGTGGTCTTGCTGCAATGTCCCCTCTGTGTGGAGACCCCGTCCTCCTCCTCGCCAGCACCTGCTGCCCTGCCCTGCAGGGATGTGCGCCCCTGCCTCCTGTCCTGTACCCACCCTGCCACCAAGCGTTTGGCATTTTTTGGCAGCCCTGCAGAGTTAAATATTTCTCATCTCTTCCTCTGAAAGTCATGGCCTTTCATCTCTGAAATTTTTATGCTCTTGGTTGGTGTCAAATGCTTAAAATATTTCCCAGGTAGTCAGCTGTAAATAGAGTATTTAATGATGTCAGTCACTCTCTTCATTGTGAAAATTCCTCTCTTTTATGAAATTACTGTAAATTCAGAAAATAATGGAAAGAACAGTTAGATAAGCTTAAATGACCCATTTCAGGACACATTTTCCAGTCCCTGGGCTTGTCCTGAGAACAATACTGAGGACAGTATTACCTAAATCTCCCACAACAGACACCCCAAAATACAGCAGTACTGCAATGGAGGGAGCGAGGTGGCACCACGCTGGCCCGATGCTGCTGCCAGCAGTGGTGGCCCTCGAGCATCCCTCCAGGGGCTGCGGGATGGGGCACCCTTTGTCCAGGCATCCTGACAGCCCAGGTGCTGCCGCAGCCAGAGCCGTGTTCCAGCCCCTCCGCAGGGCATTTGGAGGACTGCCCGGCTGTGGCCTGATTCGTGCTGCAGCTTTTTCTGTCATTCTCACATTTCACACTGCTCCAGAAACTGTCGTGAGCTGATCTGCGGCTCTTACCTAGAGCCAGAACGTGTCCTGGAGTCCCACAGGGCGCAGTGGGACGATGAGGGGCCCCTTGCACAAACCATCCGTGAGCTGCTGTCACTGTCGGTGTCACTGCAGGGGCTTGAAATGCCCCTGCGAGCAGGTGCAGCAGCTGGCATGCAGTTGCATGTTCATGCCTGGGATTCATTTCTAGCACATTAAATTCTGAATTTACAGTATTTACATCTGAGAGCAGGTAACCTCTCGTTGCACGTGCTGCCTGTAGCACAGGCGCTGGTGCAGCTCTTGCAGAGGTCTGTGAGGTCCTGGCTGGGGGCTCCAGGAACAGAAGACAGAAACTGCTTTCTCCATGACTAACTCTGACTATGTCTCCTTCCAAGACAGTCTTCCCCAGGAGGACATTTGACAAGAGGGACTGAAAAAGAGGTCAAGAAATACTGAGAATGAGAACCTAAGGTCAGAGTTGAGGCAACCAATAGAGAGAATACATATTCCATCGTCCCCAGTCATCAGGCCCTGTGTGAATGGCCAGGGCTGAGCACGTTGAGGGAAGCTTTGTTGCACCCATGCACTGTGCTTTTAGTTAGCTCCTGAAGCAGTAGCATGCCTACTTGCTCAGATCCAGCCTTCTGCACAGTGCTCACCAGTGGCAGTGACAGCAGAGCGCAGGGACAACTTCCACTCACACTGTCTCATGGGACTCTGAGCTGACCCATGAGCTGGGAACACGCAAACGTTGCTCACCTGGGAGTTCCTCTGCCACTTTCTTTAACAAAGCATGTCTACGAAGGCTGACACGAAGCCAGCAGCAGCCATCTCCATGCTTAGCATGAATGTGACCCTTGAAGAGCCGGTGTCCCAAGACGCGATAGCCTTTTCTAAGCTGAGCTGCAGGACAGTGACCGGATGCCATGGCATGTACATGGCTTGAACTGCCGAGCACCCTGGGACAGAGCTGACACAGCAGCAGATGTCGTGCAGTTGTTCCACTGAGCAGGAGCAGTTGAAGGAACCTGCAGCTCAGAGCTGAAATGGATTCATTGTGTGACATCCATTATCCCAATAAAGCTGACGTTAACTAATGAGAGGTGTACGTTTCTGATTAGTGATCCAGTGAGTCAGAGCTAGCGATGAAAATGCCAGCTGAAGAGCTGCATCCTAGTACCAGATGCTGAAATCATGCTCCTCAGGGTGACTCACGCATTCAGTGTGCAGCATTCGAACATGTGTTTGAGATGGCATTCCTGTTTAATGTCCCTTTGTTGTGTGACTGGCCGTGGCCATCCAGCCTCATCAGGGTTGTGTCATTTCTCATCGTGCGTAGTCACACTCAGATCTAAACCTCCCACCTCTGCTAACAGGTTTGCTGGGATGCTGATCAGCCAGAACATAAAGCTAAATGTGAGCTCACGTTGACTCGAGCCAGAAGCATGTGAAGTGTCAACACAGTTCCAGTTTTGGGCTCCAGCTAATTCAGCCAAGAATCTGGGTTAGAGGGTGCTTTGCAAAGGGTTTTTGTTTGTTTGTTTGTTTATATTTAAGCAACAGCCGAACATGCCAAATGTATCATGTGAAGCACAATTTTAGATGCAAAACTGAGTTTTTCAGGTGCTGTTCTGGAAACCCACAACTGCTTTGTATTTCTACAGATCTGAAAGAGAGAGAGAAGAAAAATAAGCCCTTTAGGCATTTAGCTCCTAGGGTAAAGCTACCTCTTTCTATATAAACTCATCAATTAATTCTGTTTCAGTTAAATGGTGTAACATTTCTGGTGCAAGCTTTCAGCCGCTGCAGATACAACCCCCTGTTTCCTTGTAGGCTTTTTGTCTCTTCATGGTGTCTAAAGTGATGCACAAATCAGAGCTGAGCTTTCTTTCCAATGGTTAAGGGAACTGTCCATGGAGAGCTGCTGAAAAGCTAGAGATTGTCACTCACGAGGCCAGCTGAGATCTGTGCTACTCAGCCCCTTCCCCAGAGGGAGTTTGTGGCATATGGGAAGTTATTTGTGCTGCATGTAGGTTTTGCAGGAGGTGGCCTTTCCGATGAGGAATAGAGTCTCATGCAGAGTGCAAGCATCAGCCCCCGGCCTCAGGTGCTGGAAGGCTGCATCGCTCCAGCAGGCTGGCAGCTGTGTCCCCTGACGAAGTAAAACAGGGTGCGCCTCGGGCTGTCCTGGCTAGAGCAGCCTGACTGCTGATGGTCCCAAAGCCTGCTGTCCCCTGGACACCCTGAGGCCCCAGCAGCATGCCCCCGAGCACCCCACCTTTCCCAATGTGCTGGGTGAAACCTGCAGCCACTGATTAGAAGGGCAAAACTGCAGTGCCGTGGTGGAGCCATGGTGGGACTCAAGTCTGTT